ATATATCTTTTTTCCTGGAGTCCACCTCTTTCGCGTATAATTATCGCTCTCGTTTCGATCGTTCGCGAAAATTTTATCGGTGGAACGATTCAGGGGTTCTCAAACGTTTCCTTTAGCTAAGCAGCGCACGTGGACGCGTGCAGTTGATCCCTTGATTATTTCGGATCTTAAATTTATTTTTCGTCGTAGACAAGTCTGATGATATATGTAAAGAAAAAAGGTTAGGTTGATATCCACTGATTTAGATCGTTCGCTCGCACGAAATCGCGTATGTATGCGCATACAGGTAAGAGAACGCAGACGCATTAATTCAAAGCTTGTTTTAACGAACACTTTACTCTATTATCTTTGCGATCTTCCTTTTGATAACATTTTCTCTCTCTCTCTCTCTCTCTCTCTCTCTCTTTATCTATCTATCTATCTTTTTTTTTTATTTTATTATCACGTGTCTACCTATTTTGGCTCTCTCTTTTTTCTTTTTCTTTTCTTTTCTTTTTTCTTTTTATCTTTTCAAGCGTAGAATTAACAACGAATTCCTTAACGATCCCTACTTTCAACGTAAGTATGTAACATACGTACATACGTATGTACACACATACTTTTATCTACCAGAATTATACCGTAGTCGGTCACTTTCACTGGGGAGTTTGTTCGTTCGTTCGTTCGTTCGTTCGTTCGTTCGTTCGTTCGTTCGTTCGTTTGTTCGTTCGTTCGTTCGTTCGTTCGTTCGTTCGTTCGTTCGTTCGTTCGTTCGTTCGTTCGTTCGTTCGTTCGTTCGTTCGTTCGTTCGTTCGTTCGTTCGTTCGTTCGTTCGTTCGTTCGTTCGTTCGTTCGTTCGTTCGTTCGTTCGTTCGTTCGTTCGTTCGTTCGTTCGTCCGTCCGTTCGTTCGTTCGTTCGTTCGTTCGTCCGTCCGTTCGTTCGTTCGTTCGTTCGTTCGTCCGTCCGTTCGTTCGTTCGTTCGTTCGTTCGTTCGTTCGTTCGTTCGTTCTTTCGTTTCTTTATTTTCTCGCAAGAAGAGAAGGAAGGGGCCCAACAACGAGCAACCTCGAAAATATTCTCCATCGAGTATGGGTCTCACGTTTCACGAGGCCCATAATCCTTCCACGCGCGTCGACGACCTTCGTCTCGTCAGTCTTTGACCCATTAAATGTCGTGACCCGTTCTCCACCCTTGTCGCTTCGTTCTACATGCATTATATCTACTATCTACATATGCTCGACAATAAAAAGGGGTTGTCATTTATGTATACATATATATAAAAAACAAAAAAAGAGAAACAAAAAAAAAATGGAAAATGTTGAGAACCACTGATTTTACTTTTTTCAAAAATACACGTGTCACGATAATAAACGTTCAATTGCGATGCTGGAATAGTATCATTTCTTCTGGAATTTTGTTCGTTATCGGAAGATAGTTGAGGGATAAATCGTATAGATACACGCGCAAAGGGCTCGGATAAAGAAATAACGGATACAAAGACGATCCGAGGAGAAGTCGTTGTTCGGCTCGTAAGCTATGTCGTACCAGAGAGTCATTGTCCGGCTTTTACGTGACGAATTACCCCGGTCCCCTCTACTCCTAGTCGCCCCTGTTCTCTCCCTCTCCGTCGATGTCTCTCCGGACATCGTTGTATCGGCAACTTGGACGCAACGCGCATTTTAAAACCTTTCTAAGAAGACGAAGGAACACGCGCACGCAGAACGTCGTTCGACGTCGAATGGTCCGTAGTGATTTCTATTTTTTCGTTTCTTCCATTATTTCTTTTCGTTCCATCCATTATGAAAAAAAATAAAAATCTCATAAAATGTCTTGTCTGACGATAACTACGTAAAAAAAGAAAAATTTTTTTTCAAAATGGTACTATGACCTTTTTAACTTTGTCACTCTTCTCGAAATTCAATTTAGATATACTTACATGTGTAAGTATATATATATATATATATATATATATATATATATATTCTTTCTTTTTTGAATTTTTTGAATTAAAATTACATCTAAATGAAATGTTGATAGGAAAATTAAGAGAAGAGAATTAGAAATTAGAGATTTAATTTGCCTTTCCTCTTTTTTCTTTTTTCAAGGGAACTCATTTAAAATGTATTAACGTATGACAAATTCGCGGAATCGTGCGAAATGGTGGGCAAATATTTTTCCCGAGAGAAAGAGAGAGAGAGAGAGAGAGAGAGAGAGCGCCTGTGCGCGCGCGCGCGCTCACGCACGCGAAGGGAATAATCCGTATGGGAAATCGTGGCAGATAGCGAAGAAATGCTCTCGACTTTTACAGTTATCGAGTACCTTACTTTACTCCTTTGCATTCTCGACGACGACTCTTACCTCGTGCGCGTGCTTCGATTATTTCTTTCACGTGTCGCACAAAGTAAGTATATGCGCGGACTTTGAGTGACGAATACATATATATATATACGTATATATATGTAGATATATATATATATATACACATATATATATGTACATATTTTCGAGTCTAGGTTGCGT